TTTTTTTTTTTTTTTTTTTTTTTTTTTTTTTTTTTTTTTTTTTTTTTTTTTTTTTTTTTTTTTTTTTTTTTTTTTTTTTTTTTTTTTTTTTTTTTTTTTTTTTTTTTTTTTTTTTTTTTTTTTTTTTTTTTTTTTTTTTTTTTTTTTTTTTTTTTTTTTTTTTTTTTTTTTTTTTTTTTTTTTTTTTTTTTTTTTTTTTTTTTTTTTTTTTTTTTTTTTTTTTTTTTTTTTTTTTTTTTTTTTTTTTTTTTTTTTTTTTTTTTTTTTTTTTTTTTTTTTTTTTTTTTTTTTTTTTTTTTTTTTTTTTTTTTTTTTTTTTTTTTTTTTTTTTTTTTTTTTTTTTTTTTTTTTTTTTTTTTTTTTTTTTTTTTTTTTTTTTTTTTTTTTTTTTTTTTTTTTTTTTTTTTTTTTTTTTTTTTTTTTTTTTTTTTTTTTTTTTTTTTTTTTTTTTTTTTTTTTTTTTTTTTTTTTTTTTTTTTTTTTTTTTTTTTTTTTTTTTTTTTTTTTTTTTTTTTTTTTTTTTTTTTTTTTTTTTTTTTTTTTTTTTTTTTTTTTTTTTTTTTTTTTTTTTTTTTTTTTTTTTTTTTTTTTTTTTTTTTTTTTTTTTTTTTTTTTTTTTTTTTTTTTTTTTTTTTTTTTTTTTTTTTTTTTTTTTTTTTTTTTTTTTTTTTTTTTTTTTTTTTTTTTTTTTTTTTTTTTTTTTTTTTTTTTTTTTTTTTTTTTTTTTTTTTTTTTTTTTTTTTTTTTTTTTTTTTTTTTTTTTTTTTTTTTTTTTTTTTTTTTTTTTTTTTTTTTTTTTTTTTTTTTTTTTTTTTTTTTTTTTTTTTTTTTTTTTTTTTTTTTTTTTTTTTTTTTTTTTTTTTTTTTTTTTTTTTTTTTTTTTTTTTTTTTTTTTTTTTTTTTTTTTTTTTTTTTTTTTTTTTTTTTTTTTTTTTTTTTTTTTTTTTTTTTTTTTTTTTTTTTTTTTTTTTTTTTTTTTTTTTTTTTTTTTTTTTTTTTTTTTTTTTTTTTTTTTTTTTTTTTTTTTTTTTTTTTTTTTTTTTTTTTTTTTTTTTTTTTTTTTTTTTTTTTTTTTTTTTTTTTTTTTTTTTTTTTTTTTTTTTTTTTTTTTTTTTTTTTTTTTTTTTTTTTTTTTTTTTTTTTTTTTTTTTTTTTTTTTTTTTTTTTTTTTTTTTTTTTTTTTTTTTTTTTTTTTTTTTTTTTTTTTTTTTTTTTTTTTTTTTTTTTTTTTTTTTTTTTTTTTTTTTTTTTTTTTTTTTTTTTTTTTTTTTTTTTTTTTTTTTTTTTTTTTTTTTTTTTTTTTTTTTTTTTTTTTTTTTTTTTTTTTTTTTTTTTTTTTTTTTTTTTTTTTTTTTTTTTTTTTTTTTTTTTTTTTTTTTTTTTTTTTTTTTTTTTTTTTTTTTTTTTTTTTTTTTTTTTTTTTTTTTTTTTTTTTTTTTTTTTTTTTTTTTTTTTTTTTTTTTTTTTTTTTTTTTTTTTTTTTTTTTTTTTTTTTTTTTTTTTTTTTTTTTTTTTTTTTTTTTTTTTTTTTTTTTTTTTTTTTTTTTTTTTTTTTTTTTTTTTTTTTTTTTTTTTTTTTTTTTTTTTTTTTTTTTTTTTTTTTTTTTTTTTTTTTTTTTTTTTTTTTTTTTTTTTTTTTTTTTTTTTTTTTTTTTTTTTTTTTTTTTTTTTTTTTTTTTTTTTTTTTTTTTTTTTTTTTTTTTTTTTTTTTTTTTTTTTTTTTTTTTTTTTTTTTTTTTTTTTTTTTTTTTTTTTTTTTTTTTTTTTTTTTTTTTTTTTTTTTTTTTTTTTTTTTTTTTTTTTTTTTTTTTTTTTTTTTTTTTTTTTTTTTTTTTTTTTTTTTTTTTTTTTTTTTTTTTTTTTTTTTTTTTTTTTTTTTTTTTTTTTTTTTTTTTTTTTTTTTTTTTTTTTTTTTTTTTTTTTTTTTTTTTTTTTTTTTTTTTTTTTTTTTTTTTTTTTTTTTTTTTTTTTTTTTTTTTTTTTTTTTTTTTTTTTTTTTTTTTTTTTTTTTTTTTTTTTTTTTTTTTTTTTTTTTTTTTTTTTTTTTTTTTTTTTTTTTTTTTTTTTTTTTTTTTTTTTTTTTTTTTTTTTTTTTTTTTTTTTTTTTTTTTTTTTTTTTTTTTTTTTTTTTTTTTTTTTTTTTTTTTTTTTTTTTTTTTTTTTTTTTTTTTTTTTTTTTTTTTTTTTTTTTTTTTTTTTTTTTTTTTTTTTTTTTTTTTTTTTTTTTTTTTTTTTTTTTTTTTTTTTTTTTTTTTTTTTTTTTTTTTTTTTTTTTTTATTTTTTTTTTTTTTTTTTTTTTTTTTTTTTTTTTTTTTTTTTTTTTTTTTTTTTTTTTTTTTTTTTTTTTTTTTTTTTTTTTTTTTTTTTTTTTTTTTTTTTTTTTTTTTTTTTTTTTTTTTTTTTTTTTTTTTTTTTTTTTTTTTTTTTTTTTTTTTTTTTTTTTTTTTTTTTTTTTTTTTTTTTTTTTTTTTTTTTTTTTTTTTTTTTTTTTTTTTTTTTTTTTTTTTTTTTTTTTTTTTTTTTTTTTTTTTATTTTTTTTTTTTTTTTTTTTTTTTTTTTTTTTTTTTTTTTTTTTTTTTTTTTTTTTTTTATTTTTTTTTTTTTTTTTTTTTTTTTTTTTTTTTTTTTTTTTTTTTTTTTTTTTTTTTTTTTTTTTTTTTTTTTTTTTTTTTTTTTTTATTTTTTTTTTTTTTTTTTTTTTTTTTTTTTTTTTTTTTTTTTTTTTTTTTTTTTTTTTTTTTTTTTTTTTTATTTTTTTTTTTTTTTTTTTTTTTTTTTTTTTTTTTTTTTTTTTTTTTTTTTTTTTTTTTTTTTTTTTTTTTTTTTTTTTTTTTTTTTTTTTTTTTTTTTTTTTTATTTTTTTTTTTTTTTTTTTTTTTTTTTTTTTTTTTTTTTTTTTTTTTTTTTTTTTTTTTTTTTTTTTTTTTTTTTTTTTTTATTTTTTTCTTTTTTTTTTTATTTTCTTTTTTTTATTATTTATTTTGTGATTGTGCTGCAAGGCAGAAGTACTAACTGCTTAGCCACTGTGCTTCCCATATATACAGTATTACAGTACAGAAATGGGACAATTTTGGCCATATTCAGAATATTTCAAAATATATTTTCAGTATGTATATATATATATATTTTATATTTACTGCATGTTGAAATATATATTTTTCTTCCATGTGGGCGGGGGTTTCCCGCTGACAGCTGAATTTAAAAAAGAATTGCCCAGCAATTAAAAAAAAGATGAGTGGGGGTCCCACCCCCTATCCATACCAAACCCTTCAGATCTGGTATGGATTTTGAGGGGAACCATTTTTTTTTTTTTTAAGCAGCCCAAAGAACCTTGTCCTTGTCCCCATGGTTGAAGGGCCTCTTCTGCACAACCCTGGGCTGTGGTTGTGGGGGTCTGCGGGCAGGAGGCCTATCGGAATCTGGAAGCCCCCTATGTGAATGAGTATGGTTTGTACAATGATAATTAGCTGATTTTAGTAAACTTCAGTACTGCTTCCCCACACAGAGCACGGTTCCCTCTCTGCTGGCAGGGGATAGGATTTTTTTTTTTTCAGGCTGTGGCTGCTTTCTAAAGAAAACAAAGGCTTAGCAAACGTTTTGTGTTGATGGATCCTGGAATGTATTTATCTGATTTATTGGTTTTTTTTTTATATAGACTTTCGTTGTATTTGGCGATTGCAGTAGATTGCTATTGTGACTCCAGTCGCTGACTTACCATACGCTGGTCTGGCCTGGCACACTGCAAGCAGCGCTGTTTTGAGAGACAAAAGGAAGAGTTTAATTAGTTCTGTATAGAGTTATAATTGTAGTTCTTTTTTTAAGCATTATTCAACCCAAAACCAAAAATTTTATATATTGCGGCTCACCAATCATTAGATGTGGTGGCTGCATTAGTTTTCCTTTTTAATCTTTTTCTCTCTGTTTGGTGATCTAGCCAGTAACACACCTCAGGGGAGATTTGCTAAAATCTAGTGTGATCTCTGACCCGCTGTATCCACCAGACACAGCGCAACCCAGATCAACCTACCAGCCAGCTTTGCGCAACCCTGGTACCATGTGATTGCTTTTGACCCAATCACAACAATCCCATGTCAGTTGCAAACAAACAATGGATTGTCATTCACAGCCATTGTGATCTCTGTGATTGGTCACAGTAATCACATAGTACAGCACCAGTCACAGCGGGCCTGCTGTACCATGTGATAGCTGTGACCAATCACAGCTATCACATTAGTACAGAATGGCACATAAATGGATGTTACTCACAAAGTAAAAATGATTTGCTTATACATTGATGATCATTAAAAAAAAAAATCCTGATCACTTCCCCAGAATGGCATTTTCAGTATGGTGATGCTGTATTGCTCTGGTCACATATGTGAAAAAAAAATCTTAAAAAAGAAAATACAATTGAAAAAAATGTAAAAAAAAATTTATGGGAAAAAATTACACAGCTTTTTCTATAACACTGATATATATACAAAAATATATATTTTTTTTATTATATCATTAGTCAGTGTCCTTTTTAGTCATATAGTGACACTGTACTGTAACAGTTTCTAAGAAAAAAAAAATGTTAAAAAAGAAAAAAATACAATTGAAAAAGTTTTAAAAAATTTTGGGGGAAAATTTTTTTATATATACACTGAGATATATATATATTTTCTAAGAAAAGAAAATTTTATGTCTTTTTTTTTCCAGAGAATTTAGACAAAAATTACGACTTGAAAAAACTTTTTTTTTGAAATTAAGCAATGAGTATTCATTTAGGTGCTCAACCCAGAGAAGAGAGAAGCAAGCTATAATAAAACTATTTTTTAAAGGTATTATAAACAATTGAACCCTTGAGGAGGGGGTTGGGGTCACCCCACTGCTAGGGCAGCTTTTTTTTTTACCCGGACGTCGCCATTAAGTACTTCTTTAACTCACCCAAAGTAACAGCGAGAAGCATGGTGGTGGTTCTCATCCTTCTGAGTTTCAGTAGCTAAAATAAAATAAAAAGTAAAAAAAATTAAATCTGACCCTGGAAACAGGTGCAAGTTGTTGTTTGATAAATGGTGCCTTTTTTTTTGGAATTATCTCCTTCTCTCTGTCTCTGTCATTGAGTGTTGTTATTTTGTGTGTGTGTATATATATATATATATATTTTTATATACCTTAGATTGTACGCCCCTTGAGGGTCAGGGACCGATGTGAATGTACAATATGTATGTAAAGCACTGTGTAAATTGACGGCATGATAGAAGTACTTGCAATAATAAATAATAATTTTTTTTTTTTATATATATATATATATATATATATATATATATATATATTTTATGTATTATATAATATTACAACTCCCTACTTGTCATAAAGCAGACATATATATATATATATATATATATATATATATATATATATATTTACCACCTGCCTGGAGTTTGTATGTTCTCCCTGTGCCTGTGTGGGTTTTTCCGGGTACTCCAGTTTCCTCCTTTGTACCTTTATATAAACCAATCTAATGGAACACCCCCCCCCCCCCACCATTCTGTAGTTTATTGTCTTTGTTGTGTGTCAATCGCTGGCATTATTATCATGTATAGTTCTGTGTTATAATTATCTGCATTTATGTAGTAAAATGAACAAAGTTGTAATTAAATTGTTTGTTCTTCTTTTGAATATCTAGCTAAAGATACTTCAATAATTCTGTGATATCTTTGTGGATCCATCTACAGGACCAATAGGGATCTATAGTATCCTAATAATAAGGAGAGATCCTGGGCTCCAAAGAGGATTACTATAGAAATGTTGAAGGTGTATCCTCCCAGGGGCGGACTGACCATGGGGCCCCCAAGGGGATCATGGGGCCCCTGTGGCCCAAACTCAAAAAACCTATGAAAAAGGTTGAAGGGCATCTCATGGGGCCCCCTACTGACCCCGGGCCCTCAGGCAGTGCCGAGTTTCCAAATAGGACAACCCCTGATCCCTCCATGGGGCCCCCCAGGCAAAAAAAAAAGGGGATCATGGGCCCCTGTGTCCTTGCCCAAACTCAAAAAAACGCCTTTCATGAAAAAGGTACCAGGGGCATCTCATGGGGCCCCCTGCTGACCCCGGCCCTCGGGTAACAGTGCCGAGTTTTCAAATGGTCAGTCCACCCCTGATCCCTCCAAGTTAGATGTTCCTTTTTTTTTTTTTTAAATTTTTGTCAGTAAAAAAAAAGGGGAGAGGGAGCACAGAAGTCCAATCAAATCATAGAGATCTATTAAAACGCGCTTTCACCTGTTTCCAGAGATTTAAAATATAAAAAGAGAAAAATCTGATGCTGTGTTGGAGTCATTTTTTTTGCAATTTTTGTCAGTTAAACTGACAATCTTCTCTCTCCTGTAACATTTCTGAGATTCTTTCATAAATAATTTGTTATAAATAAACTACTGAATCCTCTCTTCCTGTCTATTATTAGAACTGATAGAACACAATTCTAGTCTTTGACTTGTTACTTTGTTTCCAGTTATTGCAGAATAAAATCTCCCCCAGACAGGGAAATAACTATTTTGTCATAGAGAACAATGGAAAGACGATCAAAGAGTTTCACCGATCATTTTGTGTTCGTACCTGAAGGTGAATGTGTACTTACCGTCCCCGAGTGGTGATCTCTCTGTCCCTCTAGTAGGAAGATGAAAATCACAGAGCATTTCCATGATTTTATATCAGAGGTTGGGGGAGGGGTCCAGTCTAATTGGGGAGTGAAGGATTATTTGTAATTCATTGGGCAATTTCTGTATCTGGACAGGAGGAGTATAACATGTCATACTATCTATCTACAGTGAGGGAAATGCGTATTTGCTCCCCTGGCTGATGTTGAATGTTCGCCCCTCACAAGAAAATGATCAGTTTACAAATCGAATGTTCGGTGTATTGCAACACTGAGAGACAGAATACAACAACAAATTCAGCAGAAATGCGTCTAACAAATGATGACTGATCTGCATGTTCATGAGGGAAAGAAGGATTTGATCCCCTATCATTCAGCAGGATTTCTGGCTCCCAGGTGTCTCTTCATACAGGTAACAAGCTGAGATTAGAAGCAGTCTCTTAAAGGGAGTGCTGCTAATCTCATTTTGTTACACTGTCCACAGGAGCAATCAAACCAATCAGATTCCAAACTCTCCACCATGGCAAAGACCAAAGAGCTGTCCAAGGATGTCAGGGACAAGATTGTAGACCTACACAAGGCTGGACTGGGCTACCAAACTATGGCCAAGCAGCTTGGTGAGAAGGTGACAACAGTTGGTGCAATCATTCACAAATGGAAGAAAACACAAAACAAGTGTCAGTCTCCCTAGGTCTGGTGCACCATGCAAGATCTCACCTCGTGGAGTGTCAATGATCATGAGAACAGTGAGGAATCATCCCAGAACTACACGTGAGGATCTTGTCAATGATCTCCAGGCAGCTGGGACCACAGTCACCAAGAAAACAATTGGTAACACACTACGCCGACAAGGACTGAAATCCTGCAGTGCCCGCAAGGTCCCTCTGCTCAAAAAAGCACATGTCCAGGCCCGTCTGAAGTCTGCCACTGAACATCTGAATGATGCAGAGGAGGACTGGTGGGAAGTGTTGTGGTCAGATGAGACCAAAATCCAGCTCTTTGGCATCAACTCAACTCGCCGTGTTTGGAGGAGGAGGAATGCTGCCTATGACCCCAAGAACACCATCCCAACTGTGAAACATGGTGGTGGAAACACTTCTGCTTTGGGGGTGTTTTTTTTCTGCAAAGGGGACAGGACAACTGCACCCGCATCAAAGGGATGATGGACGGGGCAATGTACCCTCAAATCTTGGGGAGAACCTTCTTCCCCTCAACCAGGGCATTGAAAATGGGTCGTGGATGGGTGTTCCAGCATGACAATGACCCAAAACACACGGCCAAGGCAACAAAGGAACGGCTCCAGAAGAAGCACATTAAGGTCCTGGAGTGGCCTAGCCAGTCTCCAGACCTTCATTCGATTGAAAATCTGTGGAGGGAGCTGAAAGTTCGAGTTGCCAAACGTCAGCCACCAAACCTTAATGACTTGGAGAAGATCTGCCAAGAGGAGTGGGCCAAAATCCCTCCTGAGATGTGTGCGAACCTGGGGGCCAACTCCAGGAAACGTCTGACCTCTGTGATTGCCAACAAGGGATTGGCCACCAAGTACTAAGTCATGTTTTGTAAAGGGGATCAAATCCTTCTTTCCCTCATGAACATGCAGATCCGTCATCATTTGTTAGACGCATTTCTGCTGAATTTGTTGTTATATTCTGTCTCTCAGTGTTACACCGAACATTCCATTGTTAGACCGATCATTTCTGTGTGAGGGGCGAACATTCAACATCAGTTAGACATTTCCATCATTTCTGTTGAGGGGCTATTATCATTATCTATCTATCTATCTATCATCTATCATCTATCTATCTATCATCTATCTTATCTATCGCTATTCTATCATCTTTATCTATCTATCTTATCTATCTATCTATCTATCTATCTATCTATCTATCTATCTATTATCTATCTATCTATTATCTATCTATCTATCATCTATCTATTATCTATCTTCTTATCTATCTATCTATCTATCTATCATATCTATCTATCTATCTATCTATCCTATCTATCTATCTATCTATCTATCTATCTATCTATCTATCTATCTATCTATCTATCTATCTATCTATCTATCTATCTATTATCTATCTATCTATCTATCTATCTATCTATCTATCTATCTATCTATCTATCTATCTATCTATCTCTATCTATCTATCTATCTATCTATCTATCTATCTATCTATCTATCTATCTATCTATCTATCTATCTATCTATCTATCTATCTATCTATCTATCATCTATCTATCATATCTATCTATCTATCTATCTATCTATCTATCTATCTATCTATCTATCTATCTATCTATCTATCTATCTATCTATCTATCTATCTATCTCTATCTATCTATCTATCTATCTATCTATCTATCTATCTATCTATCTATTATCTATCTATCTATTATCTATCTATCTATCTATCTATCTATCTATCTAGTTCTGAAAAGTTTTTTTTTTTTTTACAAATAACATGAAAAGTATGTCAGGATAAATCTATCCGGGGTAGGTTATATTTGCGTTCTGATGGATCAAAGTTTTTAAAATCTGTTCTTCCAAATAGCATGCATGGGAGGTTGGTTTAATATTAAGGATATTTGCAGGGTTTTTCCCCTAGTGGCCCACAGAATATTAACTGTGCCCCTCTTAAATGCATAAATACTAATAAAGATTCAATCTTCCATCAGTCGAAGAAGGGATTCTTCATTATGAGTGCAATTAACCACTTGCCGCCCAGCCACTGTAGATATACGGCGGCAGGGCGGCACTCGCAGGCAAAACCACGTTTTAAAACGTGTGTTTTGTAAACAAATAGGGGGCGCGCGCGAGGCACGCCACCGCCCTATCTGTCCCGCTGATTACCGCCCGCAGATGTGAGTCGCCGGGTCGCAGCCGGTCCTTAGCGGCTGTTTCCCGGGCGATCGGCGGCAAACAGTGACAGAGAGCACAGCTGCAGTAGCTGTGCTGTCTGTCACTTCCCTGATGAGCTGATCGAGAAAGAACAGTTTCTCTTTCTCGATCAGCCTGTCCCGCCCAGCACACCACCCCGCCCCCTAGTAAAACACTCCCCTCACTCAGATAACCCTTCCCTGCAAAATAAAAGTTAACCCCTTCCTCCCCATTGCCATTAGTACAGTTTTTTTTTTTTTGCACTGATCACTGTATTAGTGTTTTTGGGGATGTCAGTGACCCCAAGTCAGTACCCCCCAATGTCAGAATGTCCGCCGCAGTCCCGCAGTCCCGCCATAAGTCCCTGATCGCCGCCATAATTCGCTGATTGACGCCATTATTAGTATAAAAAAAAAACTAAAAATCCCCCAGTATCTCTCCCGCCATTTGTAAACGCTTATAACTTTCATGTAAACCAATTAATTTACACGTATTGGGTTTTTTTTTTAGCAAAGACATGTCGCAGAATGCATTTTGGCAGAAATTTATGACTAAATTTGATTTTTGCATTTTTTTTTT